GTGTACCCAAGAGCCATCCAGGCCTGCTGGCCCTCAGAAGTGCCTGGAGGGGGCTGTTTCTATTATTATTATTTTTTAAATTTTGTTTTAAAAAACATTTTTATTTATCTATTTATTTGTTGTCATTTTCTTTCTAAAAGAATTACTCCTTTCATTGTATTTATTATTATTATTATTCCATTTGGCCAGAGAGAGAGAAAGAGAAGGCAAGCCACGAGGTCCAGGACTCAGACTGCGGTCAGCCATGCGGGAGTCCAGCGCCTTAGCCCCCATGCCACCTGCTTGCCCCTACCCCCAGTTTTAAAATGTACTTTGTCCATGAGCAAGAAACAGGGAGATGGAGAGACAGCACCTCCATGGAGGTGGGGGGTGTCCCAGTGTCACCACGCTCCCAGCCACAGCCAGCCCAGGCTCCTGGGGTGCCCGTGCCCAGCGTACTCAGGGAGGGCTCCAGGCTTGAACCAGAGCCTTCTCAGGGGGGCTGCCTCAGAGGGCGCCGTGCTACCACTGCCCCACTGGAGGGCCCCTTCTGAGGCCTCTTTGATTAAGGTAAAAAAAAAAAATTAAAGGAGGCGCGCGTTCATTTTAGAAGCACCTAATAAACCAATAGGGCAGACAGATGCAAAGCGAAGCTGAAGGGAAAAAGGTGCCAACACTCCATTTTGGCTCCTGCCTTTGCGGTCCCACTCTGTCCGGATGCTCCCCACTGTCTATGCACCACAAACGCACGCGCGAACACGGAGTTCCTCCCGGGAATCGGTGCATGTGCACGTGTTACTCTGCAAGCCTCCCTGGCTTCTCGCTGTGGCGGTGCGCTGTGGGCACCTTTCATGTGGCTGTGCTCAGGGTGTCTTCTGTGACGCCTGCAGGTCCTGAGTGTTTTTTAAAAAAGCACTTATTATTTATTTATTTATTATTAAAGTTGCTGTAAGGCACATGTGCTCACCAGAGACAGAGAGAGAGAGACAAAGTGCGAAAGCAAGCCACCAGGTCTGGGATTCGAACTGTGGTCCACCGTGTGGGAGTCCAGCGCCCCAACCACCATGCCACCTGCTGGTCCCTGGAATGCTAAATTGTATGGCGATAGCATAGTTTGTGTACTCAGCCCTGCAGTGGACACCGAGGTGTCCAGCGTTCTGTTTTCTGTTGTACGTGAGCTGCAGCGAGCACCCTGCCGCGTCTGTCAGTGTTGGCCGTGTCTGAACCCGGGGTGGTGTTGCTCTGTCAGGGGATCGAGTGTTCGGAGTTCTGATGATGGAGCTGAGTTGCCCCGCTCTGAAGAGGGTCTCTGCTTGTAGACCCCACTCCATGTCAGCACTGGCACGGTCAGCCGGGCTCCGACTCTGGCCACCTGGTGGCTCGACAGCCGCCCGTCCTTGCC